TCCAGTGTTGGTTTCTACGGAGTCTACAGAAATCAAAATTCCCCCTACCTTATATCTTTACTCAGCCGACAGGAAGACACTAAATAAGCAAACTAAGAACCCCTTTTTAAAAACCCTATAATGATCTGGTTTGAAATACATAACTACTTGGGAGAAATGATCCAACTGTCTCGGTTTACTCCGATATTTGGAAATGACAGCTTTCCTCCTGGTAGGGTGGATGCAGGTTTTAAATTTTGGTTCGATGAAGGTATAAGAAAGTGTCTGATATATTTAGGAATAATACTCTTATGTCTTTTGAACAACTTAGAAGTACTTTTTCTATTCCTGTCAAACATTTTTTTAAATTTCTTCAATTAAGAAATTTTATCTTAACCACACAAGGTAACAGCTTACAAATCCCCACCTACTCCTCTCTAGAGAACACAGTTATAAAGCATGTAAATGGGAGAGGCCGAGTTTCTGCATTGTATAAATTATTTATGGAAAATTCCAAAGAATCAACACAGTCTATTTTAGAGGCTTGGAGGAATGATTTGCAAATGGATATATCTGATGATGAGTGGTATAAATCATGCTCCTTGGCCCAGAGTCAGACAATCTCGGCTACTTCAATATAAATGATTAACAAGACTCCGTCAAAAATGCATTATTTTAATTCAAACATCCCAGACACCTGTATTAAGTGTGGAGTGGACAGGGTCACTTTATTTCACTGTATATGGGAATGTCCACATGTGAAAATCTTTTGGGAAAAGGTAATAAATCTGTTGAGTCTGTTGATTCCACTTCATCCTAAAGTATGTATTTTAAATATATACCCGAATAATTTTGTACCTGCTGCAAACAATAGAGCTCTGTTAACGACTGGAGTTTTGGAAGCCAAGCGCTGTGTTGCTATGTGCTGGAAAAATCAAAAGTTATGTGGACTGACATCTATACGATCTATAGAGAAAATAACTAATACATTAAGAAATAAACTGGACAAGTTTTGGGCTGTATGGTCAAAATTCTACAACTTTGTGTAGAACTGCAGCGTGCACACTGTGGACTTAACAGCCTGAAACTCTGACTTGATTTGTATATCTGTCCTTCCCTTCTGTTATGGTTTGCTTTGTTTTTGTTTCTATTACTATGTTATTTCTGTTGATGTTGTGTTTTTTTTTTTTTATTATTATTATTTTTTAATGTTCACGGTGCACCATGTAAAACCGGTTAAAACCAATAAATAAATGTTTTTAAAAAAACAAAGAAACAAACCTGTCTAGCATGCCTGCAGCATTATATCAGAACCACATCACTGAAACAAATTTTTATTATTTCAGAAAATGCAAAAAGAGATGTAAAACAGAACTGTTCTGGTACAAAATAGATGATATCTGTCTAACTGATTATTGTTTTCTATTTTTTAAATAAAAAAAATCTTTGTACATACTTCCAACACAAACCAAAACCCTGAACTGATAAACTATTTGATTACACTGTGCCTTCACTGCTAACAGAACATCCTTTACATTACAGACAATATCTGAGACTCTCAGGTGCTGCATGAAACGCTATAATCCTGGAATTACCACTTCTTTATTGATTACTTTTAAAATTTGTTTTTAACTTTATCACTTTTCATATCATTTTTGGACACAATGAGCAACAATTCACAGTAAAGGCTGGAAACATTGTACAGAGGCACGTGTTTCAATTATTTGGTCGAGAATAGGTTGTTGACACCCCCTGTCCCTTTCTTATAAATAACCACTAACTACTAACAAAGTATGCTCTCCTCGAGAAGCATGACTTGCAGCCATCATGCCTCAATCACATCAACTTTCACAGGACGATACAAGAAGTGTTACAGAGATGCGCAGACATGGATGAGACTGCAAAACACTTTCCTGTTGCTTTTGGAACCTGATGTCCATCAATCCACACAAAGAAAGTTTCATAAAACACGACCCTTCCTAGGAGAGGCTCTCCTGCTAAGATAACACTAAATGCTACAATGAGGCAAAACCAAAGAAGGACAGCAAATCTAAATCTCTACATCTAGCTAAAATATATAACATGTACTCATATTCACACTATACGAATAATAAGAATACTGTCAGTGTGACAAAATCACTGCTGTTCAAAAAATGTACGGAAAAAATGAGACAACACTTCTCTCCAGAAAGATTAGACAAATGTCACCAGCTGTAGCTCAGGTGTTAGACTGCTTTCTGAGTTCTGAGTTCTTTGTTGCAGATGACAAACATATTTCATGGGAACAAATGAGCTATATTTTGGTCTACAGACTAATCACTGTATTAAACTAAATATGGAGATAACACTATACTATTCACCTTTGTTTATATCTATTCTGCACACTTATAGTTCATACAAAAACATTTATAGTGACAATATGAAGGTTTTTTCTTTGTAGCTGTGAAATCAGGTTTCAGTTAGCAGACTCGCTCCCAGCATTCATCTCCAGCAGTCCAGGCCTCCCCTGATTCTTCCTCTGTTTACCAGTATTTCCAGATGTGTCCTTGTGTCGTGAATCGTTCTGCTGTCTGGTGTAGCGCTTGCATTTGCAGGAGGTCACCACAGTTATCTTGTAGGTCCTCGTGCTCCCATCGTGGCACTGCAGCTGGATCCGCTGGGTCCTGGTTCGATCGATAACACAGCGCCACTCCTGAGCATCGCGGCGGCTCCAGTACCTCCCAGTGTGAGTTCTACCAATCCAGTTGGGCAGCAGCTGAGCTGGCAGACACTCCCCAGCACACACCAGCTCCTTGATAGGGTTGACACTGGTGCACTGGCCATCAGAGATGTACTTCGTGGACCTCAACTCCCTGCAGCCCACCTGGCTCTGGTCTGGCCCTAAGACATGAAAAGTGAGTTACATATATGTGTAGCTTAGATCAGTCTTCTTGTTATTCCAAAGTATGTGTGTGTGTATATATATATTATTGTTTTTTGTTTTGTTTTAAGTGGGTAGTGGTGGTGGTGGTATAGAAGTGTGAAGTGTAGATTAAAGAACTCTTTCTTCTCCAATGCCATTAGACTTCTAAACACCCGGCAGGAGTGTATTTCCTTGGTCTACCTCAGTTTACGACTGTCTACATAAGTTTGCACACATATAATTGCACCCTCGCTGTGTCCGCTGCACATACAGTTATTGTAGCATTCAAAATGAACATATATATGCACACACACACACACACACACACACACACACACCCTCAATATTAAATTTGGATCAGTTTGAGTCGATCTGCACATTTGAGGTCCATGGTGAAATCAGTGAAATCAGAGTCAGGGGTCCTGCTGGTACTTTCAGGAAGCTAAAAATAGCATCAGAGCTGAATATGAATTTGTAAAATGACAACTGAAATATTTACAACGGTGATGATTTGTCATTAAACTGAAGGTGAAGAATTGGTTTAAACCCAGTCAAAGGAAAACAGCTACTGATATTTCTGTTGTAAAAGAATTTAACATGATTTATAATTCACACCACTAACTGTCCCATGATACCAGTTTATGACGTGTTCATGTTAGTCTGATATTTCCACATTTCTGCACTTCATGACACAGTTTGACTTTTATAAATCAGTAGTTTCATATCTGGACCAAGAGTCATGCACATGAAAAGCATTTTGTGATTTAATAATGTATTGTGCATTTCTGTATTTACAAACTGCTGCTGAATTTCTTTTCTTTATTTAGACATTAATAATTATAAATCAATAGTTATTGCATAATTTAACTGTTAATAAAAGAGAACTTTGAAATGAATGTTTCTATATGGAAAAAGGCATTTACAGAAAAAGACACTCAGCTCTCAATTAAAAAAAAAAGATTTATAAAAAATTCTAAATTTAAATGGCAAACAAATAAGTAAATAGATTCAAACATCGAAATTAGGAAAACAGATTTTTCCAACAGGTAAAATGGCAATTGCATTCTCCTTTTCCCATGAGGTTGTCGTGGTCCTGAGTCTTTTTCTGGACTTATTCATTCCTTTGTAAATATAATTAATTATGAATATGTTGTCCTTCTAGAGCCTCTGAGACTGCTGTTTATAGTTCTTATTTTCATAATGGGAGTGCCCCGTTCATGTCCAGTCTGTCTTGCCTATGTTTTGTTATCATGTTTCCATGTCTGTTTCTCCCCACTGTCCTATCTTGTGTGTCATGTTTGTCCCTGAGTCCTGCAGTTGGGCCACAGCCATACTTGACACAGCTGCTGCTTTAACTATTATATGAGGTACAAGACAAGATTCAAAGATGACTCTTAGTCCTTGGAGAAAAGGCAACACAAATTAGCCATAATTTGTGTTGCCTTGAATTATATAAGTCATGTTTATAATACTTCTTCTTCCACTTATTGTAAGTGGGCATATGTGCATGTATAGAAGAAAATATCCAGAGTCTCAGTATTATTTTTGTTATAGATTGTGAAGCCTTATATATGCTATCCATCCACTTAAACACAGGAATCCAGAGTTGAATTAAATAAATGTCATGTTATTCTGTTGTGATTATTAACAAGAGGGAGAGTGAGAAGAGACTGATGGGTGAACTCTCTTATATCAGGGCAGGGAGCAGCACTGTGCTATAAATTCATTAAACTATATAAATAGAGCCTGACTTCTTTCACAGAGAAATAAAACAGGCTTTTTTTCAGTTATAAGTTCCAACTTCAAAATATTTATTTGCTGCACTAAGTGACTTTACTCTGTCTTCCTCACTCTGTCTACTTAGCTTTAGTATTATGAAACTTCTGAGGAGAAGTGTTTGCTGCAGGATTCTAAACCATTTGTATTGTGATTTATGAGCCGTGAACCTGTGGAATTTACAGCTTTAGTAATGTAGCCTTTATTAAAGCCACAAAAACAAGTGAGAATTAATTCTACATTCCACGACTGTATTTTGAACTGATGTATCATTGATATCATTAAAAAAAGCTCAAAGGTTCCTTATATTTTTTAAAAGACAGTCATTTTGTTCAGTGTTTTCCAACAGATAACTATGGCTATGTTGGTTGTTACATGTACGAGAACCAACCCGAACTTTATAAACATTTTAACCTAGCTATCACATGGCTTTAGCTACCTAGTGAAAAACCGATTGTATTACTTTCAGCTTTGTAATAATAGTCCACTTTTTAAATGATTAATATTGGTGTGGTCTTATAATACAAAAACCACAACAACAACATTAAAATTTACTGTCACCAGTGAAAATGACAAAATGTCTCCTCCCATCATCAGGTCAGATGTGGGATATCGACAGAATTCCACAGTGCCCTCTAATGTGAGAGTAATAAGCATGTGACAATCGAGCCTACACTATACTGCTGAAAGTATTCCTTTGTCTGCCTCCACATGCATATGAACTTGAGTGATATCCTTCTCTTGATCCACAGGGTTTGAAACGATGCTGGCTCACCCTTTGCAGCTATAACAGTTTATGTTTATGTGCTTATGGAAGTTTTTGACCATTTTTCCAGAAGCTAATTTGTCAGATCAGATTCATGTTGAGAGAGAAGACCTGGCTCACAGTCTCCATTCTAATTCATCCCAAAGGTGTTCTGTCAGGTGTTATATAATCTTCAACAGACAGACAGACATTTACAGCATGCACCTGCAAAAATCTCAACACCAGCAGCAAGGATTTCTTTGTTGGTTCAGCTATAAATGTCTGTATTGACACTGGGCTTTGGGCTTCACTGTGGACTGTGCATGGCACTGCATGTATTTTAATTACAGTTTTTTCATAAATCCTGCATTCCAGACATGGATATCTTGTAGTTTTTTGTTTTGTAAGATTACTTTTTACCTAGGTTTAAACTGATTGCATCATCATAATACAAATAAATAAATACATAAATAAATAAATATTATTATTCCAAACGAGGATTTTTTCTTTTCAATTTTAGTTGTATTACTGTCACATAATACTTTATGATGTTTTCTATCACATTATTTAATTTTAGCCATTTGGACTCACCATCACGCAGAGAGTCAGAAGGCCGTCTCCCTCTATTCCTCGCCTGGTTTGTGTCTTCATCGGTCGGCGGGTCCTGAGTTTCAGGGACCAGCTGAGGACTTACGGACTCTGTGGCGTTATTTTCAACAGCTGAACTCATGCTCAGCAGCAACAGGAGCGCAAGGAGCCGGAGCGCGCTGACAGAACGAAGCATGACTGCACCTGACGCACCTGATGGATAAGTCACCTGCAGGGCTGTGCTTTATATATCCTCACTGGCAGCGACATTTTATGAATGAGCTGGACACACCTACTTGCACAGCAAGAAAAGAAAAATGCAGGTCGAGAGCCAGAAACCACATGTATTTTTGCAAACTGAATTGGCGCATTTATTCATGATCACACAGGTGTTGGAAACACCAGGATTGCAGAGGTGTACTGTGACATCGGAACGTGTCATTATTCAGCAGAACAAAAATCCACAACATGGCCAAAACAAGCATAGAGCTTTTCAGGTTAATGGGTTGAAATATTCTGGAGCGAGTGAGGCAGTTCTGGTAATTATGTGTCCAAAGGACTGTGTATGCCACGTGGTTCATTCTGTGAAATTTATTTTGAAATTGAATGTAGCCTAATCTACATGTTTTATGATAAACTAAATGCACAGATCTGTCTCAGCTCATTTGATCTGGACTACAGAGCCATCCCACTGGCGACAAAGACATTTATCTCCACCTAGTGGTGAGTTAAAATTAGGTTTCATGCAAATTTTCAAAGATGTGACAAAAAACCCGAACCCTCACCTCAACCACGAGTGGATCAGATCACTTTGTTATGCTACTGACAATTTACTGCCATGGTTTGGGTTCAATGAGCAGTTACGGAATGTCAGTATATTTGTTGTGAGTGATCACCTTTATATGGTGGGTGTGCTTTCTCCTTAGTTCGTTATACTTTGAATAAATGCCAAAAAAAAGTTGTACATCTTCATGAGATCAAAAACAAGGGTGAATGAAGCTGCTCGTGTTGCTTTTTCCTGTCTATCCGACCTATAAATGTGATCTGTGTACTCAGTACTGAAACAGGAAGTAAGTGTTTCAGACTTGTTAGTGTAAAACAAAATCGTATTATTCCCTCATTTATGTCATTCAACCACAGTGTAGTTTAAGTAGCACATTTATATAAAGTGAGAAAGCGCTCTTACAGCAGCATTAGACTTTTTTTTGTTAACTTTAAAAAAAATTAAGGACATATACAGCAAAGTGAGCTGTATTAATGTTGTTTTGCACCTGCATTATGAAATTATTATATAAAGTAAAGCTAGTGTTTTATTAAGCTCAACTCTTTAATTATTCATATCCATCAGCAGGTACTTGATAAGATCTATTCAATTCATTTCAAATTTATTTAAACAGTGCCAAATCACAAACAACAGTCACCTCTAAAGTAGGTTGCGACAGCAGAACCAGGCACAAGGAGGCGCAATTTGTTGGGGGTGAAGGGAGGGAGACAGGACAAAAGACATGCTGGGGAAGACAGCCAGGGATTATTAATAACTCATGATTAAATCTAGAGTGGTCTGTAAACACATGGTGAGAGAAAGAAGTGAGAAAAGGAGAAATGCAGCCTAAGTCTACTACAGCATAACTATATATTTAAGCAAAAAAAGAAGAAGGTTTTAGGCCTAATCTTAAGTACCAAACATGTAAATGGTAAATGGCCTGTATTTATATAGCGCTTTACTAGTCCCTAAGGACCCCAAAGCACTTTACACATCCAGTCATCCACCCATTCACACAC